CCTATGTAGTTCCTTTTGGGTTCCTTACTTGAGCTTATGAGGTGGTGATACTTCTTCTACTCCCCTACAAGGGTACTATGTAGGACCCGCTATATAGTCAACCTCAAGCCCAGCCCCGGCAGACCAGCCGACAAAATCACGATGCCTTCAGCTTCTCAGCACGGAGGCTAGACAGCCTAAGTCTGCGAACATGGCCAGAGAATAAGAGGGCGGGGGGTTAGGGGTCCCTCTTCAAAGGCTTCTGATGCTAAGAGCTTCTATTGTGAAAAGGTACCTCGAATCAGCAAAGCAGCGACCCCTGGCTGACAACATGTGAAGGTCTCAGTGTTGCGTTCACATTTTGGGGGCTTCTCTAGCTTAAGGTCTCTGTTGGGGTTCCCGTTTTGGTAATGCAAAGCCGTATGTTCGGGAAACTCCAAAGGGGACAATATTCCAGGGACTACCCAGAAATTATCCTAGACCAGCCATAAAAAACAGGCACTCCCCCACCCAAAAAAGCAAAGGGAAGCCGACGAGTTCGCATATAGAAGCTGATGGTCCAGGCGGTTGGCTCTCTCGCGTGTGGTGGCGTGGGGGTGTTGCACCGGAATTTAAAGGCTTTAGGGTTCATCGTGAGCATTTAAAAAGTGAATATTTTGTGTAAAGCCTCTTGTGCAATAGGGTTCCTTTGTGGAATTGATCCCGCAATCAGGCAAATCCCGGGCTCTGAGGCCCTCTGAAAACTACAGCCATCCCTAAGCCCTAAGCCCTAAACCCTAAACCCTAAACCCTAAACCCTATTGTGGCATGAGCTCGGCTTCCTCCTTGAACAACCAGATGGGCGAGACTATGTCCTTGCCACTGGGAGTTCTTCTCTCAATGGCAAGCTCCCAAGATAGGAATCCCCAGGGTTTAGGGTTTAGGGTTTAAGGTTTGGGGTTCAGAGTACCCTAAACCCTAAACCCCGAACCCTAAAACCTTCTTAGAACCATGCAGGCCCCCCTGCAGTCCGAGTACCCCAATACAGGCACTCACCATTTCACACCCACCCCGCCCCCCTTCCCGCCAGAAAACGCCAAGCCCTATAGGAGTCTTTGCGAAAGTGGGGGGGACCCCCTATAGAATAGACACCCACATCGTAGGATGCCCTAGCAAATACCCCTAAGAGGGTACCCCGAAATATCGTAAACCCCCCGTAAAGCCACCCCCCAAGCCCGGGAGCTGAACTGCTGTACTGCCGTCTGCTCCTGCATTGCACGGGGCTTTCGGCCTTGGGCTTTTAGATGCTAGGTCTAGGGGGTTGCGGAATTTCGGGGTGTTCGTGTACAAGTTACAAGGAGGGGCCCCCTTACTACACTAGCTATAGTCGACGCGCTTCAGGGACGCCGGTAAGGTCAAGCATGATCTGGATGAGTGTGGCTTTGGGATATATCCGATGCAACAGCTGGATAGGCCACGTGTTGGCGCCGGGTTTCACCGATACCGGCGTGGCAGCCCGCTTGACTGTGGCCTGCTGCGGGAAGTGGTACTGTTCAGAGGGTTCCTCCTCTGCTTCGGCCTCCGAGGCCATGGCCAAGAATTGGAAGCCTAGCATGTCTATAAGTCGCTCAAGCGCCAGATGGGGCAGCCCATGTCCAGCACGAGCTGCATGGTAGGTACGAGATCTTGAAATGGGACAGGAAGATCATTAGTGTGAGGCTTCAATTCCCGCAGGAGGGCTCCCGCTCACTTAGCCCTCAGTTCAGGATATTCAACGGGGGAGGGGATGGCACCTGAAGGAACCTTTCCATATCCATATCTGTCACCCTCTTGCCCAGCAAGTCCCTGACGAAAGCCCTCGCCCGGTCTGGACATATAACCTAATTTAGCATCCTGAAAACCCAATTTAGCTCGGAGGGTTTAGGGTTTAGGGTTTGGGGTTTGGGGTTTGGGGTTTGGGGTTTGGGGTTTGGGGTTTGGGGTTTGGGGTTTAGGGTTTAGGGGGGGGGGGGGGGGGCCAGAGTAACCTTCAAAATCCTGTCAACCAACGTGCCCTAGTTGTTGGTTGTTTTTTTTTTTCCATCTTGAAAGGGTTTGTTTGCTCTACCTTGAGAACCACATGAACACTAAATGTGTTTATGGTCCACATGCCAGTTTAGGGTTCAGTTCGTCCCCAAGGCAACCCTAAACCCTAAATCCTAAACCCTAAACCCTAAACCCTAAACCCTAAACCGGAAGCAAGAGCTGAACAAAATTGGATTGGGCATGGCAGGCCCAGGGATGCCGACTCGCAGAATGAAGGCCTAAATTCCTCAAGATGATGTGAGGTATACGTACCCTAAACCCTACACCCTAAACCCCCCTCCCCACCAGCACACTCTGGCCTGCTCAGTAAGCTCTTTGATGTCGTCCGACACCTCAGACGTGTATAGCCTAGAGCATATAAATAAATAAATGTTTATGCATGTATCCATGTATGCATGTATGTACGTATATGTATATGTATATGTATATGTATATGTATATGCATATGCATATGTATATGTATATGTATATGAATATGTATATGTGTGTGCATATGTATGCGTATGTGTTATATGTATATGTATAATGTATATGCATATGTATCTGTATAAGTTTAAGTTTAAGTGTGTATATATATATATACACATCACAGCGAAGAGTCACCGCATTCTGGGGCGCCCTCCGCCCCCCCCCCCCCCCCCCCGGTCCCCGCCCCCACCCCCCGCCCCTGGCCCTCACCCCCCACCCCGCCCGTGGCCCCCACCCCCCACCCCGCCCCAGCCCCCACCCCCCATCACATAGCACCTAGAAGACTTAAATAAAAACTAAGACCTCCCCAGGCACTCAGGCGCCTGAACGCGCTCAACCCTCCTCCCTGTACACCTTACAGCCTATACTGCCCATAAAATGCATAAACCCTATACCCTAAACCCTAAAGCCCTAAAACCCTAAACCCTAAACCCTAAACCCTAAAAACCCTAAACCTGAAAGCTTTGGGCCCCGAGTCCATCGCCTGGGCCACTTCTTTTCTTGCAGACGCCGCCTGGCAGCACGTGTTCAAGGGGGAAGTTTGGGATTTACCTACTGGCTCTTGGTACTATACTGTTTGCTATTAAGAACCTCTACACAAGCATGCGGTACTAAGGAGATTATTCATTTTTCCCTGCTTTGAGGTTCTTGAGCAAATAGTACAGTAACAAAGAGGGTGAGGGAACAGGGCATCGCACATATCCTGCAACACCCTCTAAGGGCTTGAAAAGCGTACCTCTCCTACTATGAAGCAGTGGGTTTAGGGTTTTGGGGGGGCCCCATGCTTGGGCTACAGACTGAAGCCTTCCGAGGCCTTGCAAAGAGAGGGCGGGCGGCAGGAAGCCGCAGATTTTGCATTGATTCAGAGTTGCATGAGTGGCTCCGAGGGTCTCCCTGAAGTCTCTAACGTAGTTCCTTTTGGGTTGCTTATAGCAGATTCTAGTATACTAAAAAGGTACTACATACCAGCAGGAGCCTCTAGGTAGGGTCTTGGTGGCTCACATCCCTAAACCCCTAAACACGCTTGTGCCCTGTGCCTCTCTGTCGAAGTACAGAAAGAACACCCAGAGCGCAACATGCACTAAGCGCGAAGACCAGCACATCCCAGACATTCCAAGACTGTAAGACTAGACTCTGAAACCGAAACACTAATTAGAATAGGGTGTTGGGGGTTTATCATAGTATATTTACAAATACTATTAACCCTAAACCCTAAACCCAAAACCAATTCTTCCGACCCCGATAGTACATCCCTCGAGCCTGCTGCTCCTGAGCCTCTTCCAAGGCGGCCGCCTGCTTCGCAAAGCTTCGCAAGGTCGCGCCGAGCTTGGGCAGGTATGACTTGTCAGGATGTAGGATTTTACCCTAAACCCTAAACCCTAAACCCTAAACCCTACACCCTAAACCCCGAACCCTAAACCCTAAACATCCCAAAACACGCATCTCTCGGCCGAAGCTTCGGTTCGCCACGGGTTTCTGAGGGTTTTTCACCATACTGTAAGGGCAGGGCTCACGGGTTTAGGGTTTCGGGTTTAGGGTCTAGAGTTTAGGGTTTAGGGAACGTCGATTGCCCAGAGATCCCCCTTAGATGAGCCATATACCCGGTATTTCTTGGGGATCCTTCATATGATTTCAGGCATGCTCCTTATTTAAATGGTACTGGGCTCTTTCGGTAAGGATTGTTTTGGGTGGGGCTTAGGGTTTCGGGATGGGGTATTGCACGAGGCCGTTCGCAGGGGATAGAGGAAGGGCCGGGCTAGGGGCTTGAATGTAGTTCATCATGGGAACCTGACCGCTTAAACTGCTATTTGCTTAAGAACCCCCCCCCAAAAAACAAAACAACAACAACAACAACAACAACAACAACAACAACAACAACAACAACAACAACAACAACAACAACAACAACAACAACAACAACAACAACAACAACAACAACAAAGAAAACATTGTTCATGATTTTACTGTTTTGTGGTTCTTAAGCAAATAGTAGCAACAAACGCATTTACTTCGATACCCTTGAAGGTGTTGAAGCCAGGGCGTCTGAGGGGTTTCGGGGTTTCAGGGTATCTGGTAGAAGGTTAAAAAAGCACTTCCTTATGACGATCAACGATGTAGGCATAGGCGTGCGGCCCGCATGCTATCGTCCCATGTCCTAACACATAAACTGAGGGGTGCTTTAAATCAAGCCCTTCAAAAATTATCAATGAATAGGGAACTATTTATATATAGGGTCCCTTACAAACACAAATAAGGACAAAAACAAATGTCCCAAAAACCAACCCAGCAAACGTTAGGGGAACGGGAGCATCTGCCTCGGCTACAGCCGAGTCGATCTCTCTGAGCTTGTGCTTGTACTCCTCCATGACCTGCCAGGTCCGAATCATCCAAAGGGTTTAGGGTTTAGGGCTTAGGGTTTAGGGCTTAGGGTTTGGGAATCACTTCTGCAAGCAGTGCAAAGTAGTTCTTCTTTCTCTGCAGGACTGGCATCATGTCACATCGCCGTGGTTGGGCAGCGGGCTGTCCTGTGTCAAAAGCGCTGCCAGGCCTCTAAGGGTAGTTCCGTTTTTTGGATACCTAGTTTTCTGGCTTGTATGTGAAAGCAGGGATATTTCAAACTGCAACTGGGACGCCAGCTAACCTCTGAGTCGGAAAGGAGGATGAGGTTGAGTAAACATGTGCACTGTGCCACAAACATGGCCACAGAACAGCGCGTGCCCAGCTCGCGAGAAACACAATCTCATACCCGGCATCGGTTCGACCTAAATACTAACACCGGAAAGGCCAAAAACTACCAATTGCTTAAGAACCCCCCCCCAAAAATCAAAAAAACTCTTCCTTACAGGGTAATATAGGGATCATTATTTTTGCGGATTCTTAAGCAAATAGTAGATCAAACACCAGGGTCAGGGGCTGCCACGTGTGGAGGTGGGAACACAGGATTTCTCCAAGACAGCCTCGAAAGCAGCGACGAGCCGCGTCATCAGCTCCCAAAACCCAATGGGGACCCAAGCTCTACTGGGTGGGCTGATGGATATGACCCAAGACCTAAACCCTAAACCCTATAACCTCATAACCCGAAACCCTGAACCATCCAAAGGAAAGGGTCAAGAGCTCATGGGTCTTACGAGGTTCATGAGATTTATTGAGGGGGGGATGTTAGGGACTATACGCCCCAAGCAAAAGGATGCCCCCGGCCCTATAAACCCTCAACCCTGAATTCTAAATCCAACCGCAGCAAAGGATGCCCCCCCGGCCATGGTCCTCTTCTGCCAAGCCAGGGGGAAGCACCAGCACCTTGGAGGGGCTGGAGGCTTCCGGGTCTGCCATTGAACAAATACTGCGCTGCATGAACCCTAAACCCTAAACCCTAAACCCTCAACCCTAAACCCTAAACTGGGTGTCCCGCCATGGCCGCCGCATCCTCCTCTCCGACACCAGCTCGGCGAACCCTGCAGCTCGCAACAGGGTGGAGTTTTGGGGGGGTATCTGTAATCAACTAGGACTAGGAAGAAAAAGAGCAGGGCTTAGGGTTTATAGGGTTTAGGGTTTAGGGTTTAGGGTTGAGGGTTGAGGGTTGAGGGTTGAGGGTTGAGGGTTGAGGGTTTAGGGTTTAGGGTGACCCATGAGTAGCCTAGGAACAAAAGAGGGTGCCCTTTTTGGTTTCAAGGGGCTTGTAAGGGAAAACAGGCAATAGGGACCCACTCTGGGTCCTAGGTAATGAGGGTGCTACCCCAGCATTTAGTCCAAATCCCGACTCCTGTCACACCTAAGCATTAGGAACACAGGTTTAGGGTTTAGGGGTGCGTTTAGGGTTTAGGGTTTAGGGTTTAGGGCTCACGGTCAGGGTTTAAGGAAACCCAGTTGTGAAAAGGAACAAGGGAGAATGGAAACGTTCACGCCCGATGCGCCCAAGTTCTTGCCAAGCATCCATGCGGAGGCCGGACATGACCCTGGGGACGGTTTAGGGTTTAGGGTTTAGGGTTTAGGGTTTAGGGTTTAGGGCTTAGCAGGTGACCCGAAATGGCCGCAGAGAACATCACTCTACAAGGGTGCTCTGTAGCAGCTGAATGTTGGGGTTTGGGAACTTTGGGATTTAGGATTTGGGTTGAAGGGCTTAGGATGTACATGGGGTTGATGCGGGTTCAAAACCCAAACCCTGAACCCCAAACCCGAAGCCTGTCTCTGCCTAATGCAGCATGCTTTACAGGGGTCCATATAAGGGAGGGGAGTTCAGGGTCATCGGGCACTAGTTCCCCCTAATGATCCTTTCATCTCCTTTATCCAACTGAAGCCCACCTCCCCCTGAACCACACCCTTACTGGGAACTATTTTCAGGCCTTTGCTTGGCGAACGGAGGCTTGGGCTTTCGCGGCTGTGTTCCCATGGCTTTCTGGCGTGAAACATCTCTAAACCCTAAACCCTAAAACCTAAACCCTAAAACCCTAAAACCCTAAAACCCTAAAACCCTAAACCCTACGCCCTAAGCCTTTCAACTCCCGGGGACGCCTTCGCGGAAGGCCTGCACTGCCCAGTGCACCGGCAAGCGAGGGCCCTGGCCCATCGACGTGCAGCTGGGGGGGGGGGGAGATAGACCCAAGAGCAACCCAGGAACAGAAATGGTTTAGGGTTTAGGGTTTATAGGGTTTATGGGGTTTATAGGGTTTATAGGGTTTATAGGGTTTATAGGGCTTATAGGGTTTATAGGGTTTATAGGGTTTAGGATGGTTTAGGAGGGTAGGATGGTTTAGGGTTTCGGGTTTAGGGTGACAGCAACAAGGTATTCTGCTAGTCCTGGTCGTTGTACTCCTCGTAAGGGTTTAGGGTTTAGGGTTTAGGGTTTAGGGTTTAGGGTTTAGGGTTTAGGGTTTAGGGTTTAGGGGGACAATCCTGCAGGAAATCCCGCAGAGCATCCCTAAAGATCCAGGCCCCAGCATGCCCGTGGCCAGAAAGCCTGGTGCCATGGGTTCCCAAAGCACGCGGTACCCCTTAATTGAAGAATATGCCTAAATAGATATAATGTAAATAAATAAATAAATATATATATATACACATAAATATAAATAAATATATATATATATATACAGGGATCTGAATTTCGATATGATGTGGGGTATACTCTTTAGTGAAGGGAGAATTGGGCTCTTTGGGTATGTTGGGGGCCAAGATTGTCCTAGGAGAAGATCACGGCATGCTACCATGGATACTGCCCCACATAGGGTTTAGGGTTTAGGGTTTAGGGCTTAGGGTTTAGGGTTTAGGGTTTAGGGCCCCGCTTTTATAGGGCTGCTTGCGAAAGCACGCTGCAAAGGTAACCGCAACACCTCCAGACTTGGCTCTTCAAAGGAGTCTCTGTACCTGAAGACTCCTTGATGTAGCTCCTGTTTGGGTTAGTGAGTGGGGTTTCTAGCATACTCCCCTAAAAAGGTGCGACATAGGAAGCTTAGGTAAGGATTCCCGGCTAGACTAGGACCCAGAGTATAGGCCCTTATTCCCTTTTTTGGGGTTTAAGTTCCCTTGCAAGCCCTTTTTAAGCCCAAAAGGGCACCCGTGTTGTTCCTAGGTTACTTTTTGAATTGAACACACCCATGCCGAGGATCGGGAACCTGCAGCCTGGAGTTAGGGTTTAGGGTTTCGGGTTTAGGGAAGCAAGTGAAAGCCCAAACGCCCTTGAGCACCCCAAGCAAAAAAAAGCAACAACCATTGAAAAACCTTTCTGCTGAAACAGAGAAACACAAAGCCCTCAACACCCCGCCCCCCCCCCGCCCCCACACACCACAAAAAACAAACCAAACGGTAAACACGAAACCTTAACCCCCCCCCCCCCCTAAACACACAAAAAAACAAAAAACAACAACAAGAGGAACGCTGGGCCTTCGTCCAGAGATTCGACGTGCCGAGCAACACGAAGCATCGGCCCGCGAGAGGGTGCCTTTGAAGTTTCAGGGCTTCGGAGTTTTTGTTGCCTTGTGTTGTCAGGCGTAAATGGCTTCGTGGGTTCGAAGGTTTTGAAGTCTTGGTTCGGAAGCTTTATGGTTTAGGAACACTAATCCTCTAAAAGCCCTATAAACCCCCTAACACCTGCAGTGAAGCACTGGAATTGGAAGATGAAAACGGTTTTCGAGCAAGAGTTCAGTGTGCTGGGTGTAACGTGTAAAATTCAGGATGTTTTAGGTTTTTCGGTGCATGAATTCAAGGAGATCACATTGTTTCTCCCTCCTGTGGCAAGCTCACCGACATGTCAAGGAAGGGGCTGTACCCAATCGTTTCCAGAAAACGATGCAGCTGCGTACTCACTGCAGCAGCGCCATTTAGCCTACAGTGGCGAGGGTCCGGATGTGTGACCCTAGACCTCTCTGTATACACTATACTAGGGGTTTAGGGTTTAGGGGTTTCAAGCAGAAATTCGGGGGAGTTCGCCAGCGCTTATGTTCAGGGTTTAGGGCGCTTGGGCAAGGTGCGAGGTTTACCGTTCAGGCTTTACTTTTAAACCTGTGCATATTCCCGATGGTTCATCTATGTTTCTCTCTTTGTAAAGGGTTTACAGGTCCCTCTAGGTAGGCCCAAAGATTTGGCAAGCATGGCGCTAAACCCTAAACCCTAAAGGCCTGGCCCGAACCACGTCCGGAAGGCTGATGAGGCCTCTCGCAGGGTAAATCTGAGAGGCTCGGCACTCGCTCGTTGTTTTTATACTTGGTTGGACCTTAACCGCAAATGAGGGTGTGTGTGTATGTTATATACAAAGCCCAAGGGCTTGCCTAGTAACTTAGCACTGCGCTGTACATATGGGGCTCAAAGGGTTGTGATATAAGACTGCAGTGTTCGAGGGCGTTGTGCTCAGTCACCGCCTGGTGGCAAGAACATGCTGCAGCTGTGCTTTGCTTGCACCCATAACCTCAAACGTAGGCATACTTATATCTGAAAAAGGCAACAACCCCCATCAACTCGCTGGACAACCTTGCCTGGCTGCGATGCTTTGCGCATCCTGCCGCCCAGGAAACGTAGCACTGGTGGCACGACTGCGACACCTGCGCACACCAACAAAAGCAACCAACAGGCTATATGACCAACGGATAAGAACTACCCAGAGAGCCCAGTTAACCCTTAATTAAGGAGTATATCTTAAATTATACAGGGACCCTTATTTTGATTTAAGGAGTATTCCTTACTCAAAGGGTATAGGGCTCTTTGGGTACAACACATCTGCAAGGCAACCTCGGCTTCCCGAGCTTCTTCGCAGAGCAAACATGGTCTTGACATGTCTTGACCATATTCTGGGCCCTGGCAACCTAAACCCTATACCCTAAACCCTAAACCCTAAGAGAAAACCGGAAAAATACGCACAGCAAATGTCGGCAAAAGTTGTGTTGGTCTGGGGGCCTCCCCGGTCGAGGCAGACTGCCTACACTCGTTCACAACACCCTCCCGCGTGACACATGGCGAAGTTCGCGGTGGTGCTTGCAGCCGGGGATCCCGGGTGGTCGAAGGCTACCCTGTAGCTCTGACGCAAAGAGCGAAATACCCCCTTATTTGAGGAACATTCCCTAAATCATACTAAGGATCAGGGTATATTCCTTAATTAAGAAGTACTGGGCTCTCTGGGGACAAAACATGACACAACACGTGGGCTTGGTAGCGGCCGTCTGGAGAAGGAGCAAGAACGACAAAGAGAGAGAGAGAGAGAGCTAGAGACAGAGCGAGCGAGAGAGAGAGAGAGAGAGATAGAGAGACAGAGAGAGAGAGAGAGGGAGCGAGAGAGAGAGAGAGAGAGAGAGAGAGAGAGCGAGAGAGGAGAGAGGAGAGAGGAGAGAGAGAGAGAGAGAGGAGAGAGAGAGAGAGAGGAGAGAGAGAGAGAGGAGGAGAGATAGAGGGAGACGAGGGAGAGCGAGATAGAGAGCGACAGAGAGGAGAAAAAGAGAGGGGAGGAGAGAGAGAGAGAGAGAGGGGAGAGAGGTGGGAGGAGAGAGAAGAGAGGGAGAGAGAGCAGAGAGCGAGAGGAACAGAGAGTCCAGAGAGAACAGAGATAGGGGAGAGGAGAGACAGAGAGAGGGGGATTGATTAAAAACACATTGTGCACTCATGAGAGAGTGGGGGAGCTAGAGAAGATGGAGCGAGAAAAAAACGAGAGAGAGGAAGAGGCTACATATACATGTACATTTGGTTGATAAGTACCATGAACCTCCAAGTAGTGTTGGGTGTAGACTGAGTAGGCCCCTCGGTGTTTGTTCCGTACAGTTCGTGTGTTGGGAACAAGCTGCAGGCATGTTTTCCATCTCCCCTCCCCCAGGGTATGCCACCTGCCATGTTATATGGTCCCCCTCCCTTTTAAACCCTGAGCCCTAAACCTACGAAGCCCTAAACCCCAAAACCCGAAGGCCTAAACCTTGAAAGCCCCTAAGCTCTGAAACCCTGAAACCCTCAACCCTGCAACGAACCCACAGCCACACCACCGGGGAGAGGGGGGGGAGGGGGGGGGATGGGGGGGGCACTTAAGGGGGCTTATAAAGTGGGTTAGAAGTACAGCTAAAATTGGTTCATAAGTACCACCCTAAACCCAAAACTCTAAACTGCCCTAAACCCTAAACCAAGTAGGAAGGCACCCGATCTGGCACCTGCATCCTTCACGCGCGCGAGCTCGGCGGCGTTGTTGGCATCATGCGGCACGGATGCCTGAAACTTCCACGGCATATAGGGCTTCAGGTTTCAGGGTTTGACCGGTTTAGGGTTTAGGGTTTGGGGTTTAGGGCTTCGGGTTTCAGGGTTTGATGTCTGGGTTGCCAGCATTGAAGATACTGGACCCCTAAGGTTTCTTAGAGATGGTTGCCTGGTCTTGGCACAAGGTCTCGCCTAGCACCAGTCGGCACGATCTGGCCTCGTCGCAGTAGACTGTGTCACCCTGGTCTGCCTCCGTTCCGATGACGCAGCGCGAAATGCCAACGCTGGAGATGTAGATTCCACTCCTCGGCACATGTTGTGAGGTGTGCTTGCTTGGTAAACTGAAGGGGTCCTCTGTGTTGCATGAGGTAGGTACGGTGCAGCTGGATTGAGACATGTTCCGCACGTTGACCGTGAGCGCCCTTTAGAATCTCAGGGACTTCCCTGTTCAAGTCGTTGATACCCTAAGGATCCATGTACCTACATAGTATATACTTGGGCTTTATAGGGCTGCCTATATAGTAGCTTTAGGGCCCAAGTATATACTATATAGGCACATGGATCCTTAGGGATAGGGTTGAGGAGTTAGGCTTGCCCTCCCTGCAGGTGGTGCTTGGGGCTACGTGGAGTTTTAGGGCTTCGAGCTGTCGGGCTGGTTTTTTCGTGCAAAAAAACCAGAAAAAAAAGCCTAAAACCCCTAAACCCTAAACCCTAAACCCTAAACCCCAAACCCTAAACCCTAAACCCTAAACCCTAAACCCGAATCCCAGGGATCGGACCTTGCAACGATGCACAGCACGGCTGAGACCGGCTCCTGCCCCACATGTTGTTTAGGGTTTAGGGTTTAGGGTTTAGGGTTTAGGGTTTAGGGTTCAGGGACTTGGGGTTTGTGTTTATGAGCCCGTATGCAACCTACACCCTAAAGCCCTACAACCTAAAACTCTAAAGAGGGGCACCCATACTTTCGGAAACCCACCTCTGGAGTAGACCCAGAAAAAAGTATATACTTTTTAGGTATAAGTAGCTATAATGGGAACCCAAAACCAAAAAAAAGTATTAAAGTATAGTACTCCAAAGACCAGGAAACCCATCAACCACGCCTGAACAACTTCGTGGCAGAACACGTGCCGAAGCGAAGAAGGGTCAGCGCGCCTATATAAAGTACGGTATATATTTCTTGTACCCCCAAAAGGACACCAGGTATATACACTCACCAATATTAGAAAGGAACCTTACATACACTCACCAATAACAGAAATATAAACCCTGCTTCATATCGTGTCGACTTGGGCCTTATAAAAAGGGTTCCTATATCGTAGCTTAAGAGCCCCAGGTCGATACCATACTGCCAAAGGCCCTGAACCCCTAATCCCGCAAAGCGTACCCTTAACCTTTTGGGTTTAGGTATTAGGGTTTAGGGCACCGGCCCCAAGAACTGCGAGCCCCTACACCCTAAACCACCCTCGACCCTCCGAACCCTACAAGCGCCAAAGCCCCCTACACTTTTAAGTCGCAAAGCTCGCACGAACCCAAACTGCCTAACCCCTGGATGGTTGGTATCTAGGATCTAGGGTTTTGGGCCCCAACCCTAAACCATACCTAAAGGCTCCAATCGGCACTGTTTTGGGCCTTTCAGGGCAGCGGCAGCATGCTCTACTCCCCCACGCCCTAAACCCTAAACCCTAAACCCTAAACCCTACATTCCTTATTTTATAGGATCTTGGGACTCGCTGGGAACCTACACACCGGCCGGGCGCCTCCCCCAGCTCTTCGTCGCAGCGGGCGAAGGCCACACTAAGGGCCTGGAAGTTTAGGGTTTAGGGATTTAGGGGTTTAGGGGTTTAGGGTTTTAGGGTTTTAGGGTTCCGGGTTTAGGGATTTAGGGTTTAGGGTTTAGGGATTTAGGGTTTTAGGGTTTAGGGAGTTTTTTAGGGGTTTAGGGTTTTAGGGTTTAGGGCGTTTTGTAGTGGCTTAGGGTCTAGGGGTTTAGGGTTTTAGGGCTTTAGGGTCTAGGGTTTTAGGGGTTTTTGGGGTTTTGGGGTTTAGGGTTTTAGGGTTTAGGGTTTTAGGGGTTTTAGGGTTTTGGGGTTTAGGGCTGAGGGTTTTGGGCCCGGAGAGGGGCTCGTCAGGGTGTTAAGGTCTTACTGTACTTATTTAGAGCAACTTTGTACCTTCACAACAGGTGAAACACGCCAACTACAGTACGTCTCCCGTTTCAGGGGAATACTTGGGGCCTTAAAGTACCTCGTATTTAGGGACTTTGGGCTCCAAGTACACAACAATAAGGTACACGGACCCTAAACCCTAAACCCTAAACCCTAAACCCTAAACCCTAAACCCTAAACCCTGAAGGTATCAGCGCCCTGTTTCAGACTCGATCCTCCGCCCATGCTCTGGCAGCAGCTTCCTCCTCCTCCAGCAGAGCTCCGTCAGGACCGGTCCAGACCCAGTGGGGCACCTGAGGGTTTAGGGTTTAGGGTTTAGGGTTTAGGGTTTAGGGTTTAGGGTTTAGGGTTTAGGGTTTAGGGTTTAGGGTGGTGTGGTTTAAGGGCTTCCGGGTTTGGGAGGCTTTGGGGATATTGAGGTTTAGGGATGGAAGGAGAAACGTCCACGGGGGCTTGTAGAGTTTGGGATGTAGGTTTAGGGGTACGGATCTGAAACCAGAGTCGCCAACGATCTCTCTCTCTCTCTCTCTCTCTCTCCCTCCCTCTCTCTCGCTCTCTCCCCCTCTCTCTATCTCGCTCTTTCTCTTTTTTTGTTTTCTCTCTCTCTCTCTCGTAGGCAACACGGGAGAATGGCTATGGTGCTGGCATGTTGCATCATATTCCCGGAAGAACCCGTTCGACACTCTACGCATGACGCATCTCTGAGCTGCAAGCAATGAGCTCAGTCCTATGTGCTGCAAAACGAGCACGGCTGCGCATGCCCCCGTGTCTGGAAAGAACCAAACACAACTCGCGCAAGAAGAACTGCGAACGTAGCGCAGAAACCACATGCTAGTAAGGGTACCCTTTCTTGGGGTTGGTTACTGTACATACGGGAACCTGGAACCCAAAAAAGTTGAAAAGGGTACCGCTGGGCTGCGGGTGTCCAGCATGAAGAGGTTTACTTGGAGGTTCGTGGTCTTGTACTTCTAACCATGTTAGGGCACTTAATGGGCTTCTAAGTGGGTTGTAAGTACAGTTATACTTGGTGAACAAGTAGCCCTAAACCCTAAACCCTAAACCCTAATACCCTGAACTAGCAAGTAAGGATCTCCTGCCTGAGCAACACCCTCGGCAAACGCCCGCGCTGTGAGCACGGGCAGAGCCTGCCGGTGGGCTGCTCGGCTGCAAGTTGCCGAAAAACCGAGGATTGCCAAGAGGAAACCCTAAACCCTAAACCCTAAGGCCATTTTTGCTTAAAGGGATTTATGAGGGAACCCTAAACTCCCCCCAAAAAGGGAATGTAAGGGTACCACTGGGCAGCCTAGAGGCATGCAAACAAAAACATCATTCCTAAGGAACTTATGGGAGACAGGGACGTGAGCTGTTGGAGGTTTAGGGTTTAGGGTTTAGGGTTTAGGGTTTAGGGTTGAGGGTTTAGGGTTGAGGGTTCAGGGTATACGGTTTAGGGTCAGGGGCCGCGGATCTTGCATCGGCTGGATGTGATTATGTACGAGTCGACATGCACGTGGGCATATGCAGACCGCACAAACAAGCACATGGTTACAATGCATATAAGCAAAAGCCCTAGACCAAACCTACATCCGTCGTATACCTGGAGCAGCCTTGTACCTTGAAAAAGGAGAAGACGTATCCAATGATGCCGGTACGTACACTCCACTTGTTGAATCAAGGGTATCAAGCTTACTCGAGGGCAGTGCAGGACGTAGGGCCTGCAGCGAAATGACTCAAGGGACTAAGGGAGGGACCCTTATAAGGGACCTTCGGGGTTATGTGGCAAGGGGGGGGGGGGGGGTTTAGGGGCTAGTTAGGTATATAGGGACTATCTAAGGTATATATAGGGGTGATATAGGGGGATAAGATTAAGGATTAAGGGTCCCTAAACCCAAAACCCTAGACCCTAGACCCTACTCCCTTCTAAGGGGGGACCCTCCTTATACCCCTTATATGACACAACGCACTCCGACGAGAAGCAGAACATGAGTTTAGGGTTTAGGGTTTAGGGCCGTTTAGGGTTTAGGGTTTAGGGTCCGGGGGAGCAGCCAGGGGGTTCCCTAATCCCTAAGGACCCATAGACCATAAACGCTTAACCGAAAGACGCTAACCCCTGAACTCGAAACTCAAACTCCTCAGCCTTCCTCAACCTTCTGCCCTGAGACCTGCTGGAGTTGAACCCAGACTCTAAAAACACCCCAAATCCCGAACCCAAAACCCCAAAATCCTTAGCCGCTGCACCTTCGCCGCTTTCGAGGCTGCCTCGCCTTACGGGCTGGTGTCGTGCAATCCCGCCGACCCCCCCCCAATCCCTCCCCCTGAATATTAAACCCACCCTACCCCCCAAAATTTAAAACCCCCCAATACTACTATAACATAAGCATACCGGGTGGTATTTCATATTAGGGGGGGGGGGGGGGAATGGGGAATACCAGGGAGTCCTTCTTGCCCCTGAGCGAAGGGATATTCTTACATTGCATAGGGATCCTTCATATGAATTAAGTTCAGGAATATTCCGTATTTTTGGGAGGAATTTTCCTCAAATCAACTGGGGATCCTTCATATGAATTAAGTTCAGGAATTTTCCGTATTTAAGGGAGGAATTTTGCTTAAATCAAGTGGGGATCTTTCATATGAATTAAGTTAAGATATATTCCGTGTTTAAGGGAGGAATATTCCTTAAATCGTTTGAGGGTCTTTAATATGATTTATGTGAATGTGTATTACTAGCTAAGTCATCGCTCATATGACTTACGGTACATTCCTTATTTGAAGGGTCTTGGACTCTTTAGGTACAGAGGAATGCAAAGGCAGGAACTACCCCTACCCAAAGAGCCCAATACCCCTTAATTCAGGAGTATTCCTTTAATTTTGCAGGGACCCTTAAAATGATACAAGGTATGTTCCTTATTCCCCACCTTCGGTGTGGGGCTGCTAGATGACTCAACTCTTCTCCTCGCCCGGAACTCTTCTCCTCGCCCTCCTCGCCCGGTCTACTCCTAGAGACTCCCTGGGGTGCCCAACCCCAGCGACCCTGGAGTGCCCAACCCCAGAGACTCCCTGAAGAGTGCCCAACCCCAGAGACTCCCTGAAGTGCCCAAATTTAGAGACCCTGGAGTGCCCAAGCCCAGAGACTCCCTGGTGTACCCAACCGCAGAGATTCCCTGAAATGTCCAATCCCCAAATCCCTAAGGTGGGGATATTCGAAGTAAATTATAAGGGTGTGAGCTCTTTGGGTACAAAGGAATGCAAAGGCAGGAACTGCCCACAGAGCCGAATGCCAATACCCTCAATTGAGGAATACGGAATACCCTTTAAATTACATAGGGATCCTTCATACGATTTACGGTATATTCATTATTTAAGTTGTGTTGGGCTCTTTGGGAGCTGGCCTTGCTTACGGTTCTCTACCAGGCACAGATAGGGTCTTCTGTAGTTCTCACAAAATCGGCGCTAAGGAATCCATCCCATGCACCCTACAGTTTCCCTGAATCCAAGACCTGAGATGGTGGACTCTCTTGACCCAAAAACAGATATGTCATTTGATGGCCTGCGCACACGTTAGTGAGAACCGTAATGTGGGCTTCTTACATGAGGGGCTCTATCTACACTTGTGCGGTAGGACAGCCCCTCAAGCCCTAGCTATCCAAAGCAGCGCCAAGACACCTCCGTCTTTCCCGTGGCTTTCGGCCAGAGCAAAGGCATGCAACGCCTCGCAGCAGGAAGAAGGGGTGTAGACGATCAGCTCGCTGAACTATGGTTTTGTTGTGGAGCGGGTGCGCTGATTCTGGTATGCAGAATACAAAACAAGAAAAGTGTCACAATCTAAAGGAGAAGCCACGACTAGACCCAAGAGTAGTAATCCAGGAAAAAATGGGTACCCTTTTTGTATTTAACAGGGCTTATAGGGGAACCGAAGCCGAAACAAGGGTGAATAAGGGCCTACTCTGGGTCCTAGCTGCAGGGTTGAGCTGTTGAGCACAAAGCCTGATCACCATGTAGGGATCGAACGAGAATTAGAATACGAGCTGAGGTCCAGGTTGGTTGTAGTCGTCCCATACATAGGGCTAAGGGTTTGGCGTTTAGTGTCCCTAACCTTATTCAGGGCTCAGGGTTGAGGGTTTAGTGCTTAGGTGAAACCCTAAGCTTTGCAACAAACTCTAAAACTCGAGAGGAACCTATGCGCCCATGAAAACAAAAACGTTCGAACATCAAGATGGCTGCTTCCCTTAGTTTGGGGGGATAGGTTACTATAGGCCCAAGCCCTGAGCCTCAAAACCCAGACCTGAGTCCCCCCACCCAATAAGCCCAATAAACCCTATAAACCCCATCGACTCCAACCAAACTGCAAACCCTAAACCCTAAACCCCAGACCCCAGACCCCAAACCCAAAACCGGAAACCCCAAACCCCTAAACCCTAAACCCTAAACCCCTAAACCCTAAACCCCTAGACCCCTAAACCCCCAAACCCCCAAACCCCCAACCCCCTAAACCCTAAACCCTAAACCCCTAAACCCTAAACCCCTAAACCCTAAACCCTAAACCCCTAAACCCCAAACCCCAACCCAAAACAACAGCAACAACTCGCATCCTCCAGGGCCGCGCTGCGACACGAGGAGGCTTCCGGCGGCCGGCTCCGGGCCGCGAAGTAGCGCCTTGGGCGGACGGAGTCGAGGCAAGTTTGGGGAAACCCTAAACCCTAAACCCTAAACCCTAAACCCTAAGCCCAATTAAGGAGCTTAAAAGAGTTTAGAGGGGGATGAAGAAGCGGCGCAGCTTTAGGACTTGATTGACATGGCTTCGGGCTCAGGGTGTGCGGTTTATTGTTTAGGGTTTAGGTATTGTTAGGGTTTAGGGTCTAGGGTCTAGGGTCTAGGGTTTAGGGTTTAGGGTTTAGGGTTTAGGGGTTAGGGTTTAGGGTTTATGGTTAGGGTTCTTGAGGGGGAGGGGGTGTTCAAGGGGGGTATGTAACCCGCTCCCAAACACTCCATACTACTCCCTAGGTACCTACCCCCCTTGAACCCCCCCCCTCCCTGAAGAACCCTATACTGGGCATAGAGATTGACACAAACAGACTTGCGGGCTTAGGATCGAGGGCTTGGAGCTTTGGGTTTAGGGTTCAGGGTTTGGCTCTTAAATCATATTAAAGATCTTTATGAATCTAAAGTCTAGTCCAGAATTAAGGGACATAAAGCGCTCTCTGGGGGGGGGGGGGGTGGGTGAGGGTTTAAGGCTTATAAGGTTTAGGATATCGCTAGAAGTAGCTAACCCTTCACGTTCTGAGCTCCTAAAACACTTCCCCCCAAACCCTAAACCCGAAACCCTAAACCGTAAACCCTAAACACTTCCCAGCCCGGGCTTCTTTGCCAAAGCGGCGCAGGCCGCTGCGCGGACAAGTTCCTGTCGTTTGGCGAAGAAGGGCTTCAGGGTGTTTGCGTCGAATTCTAGTTAGCTTCAGGATGTTGACGTCGAATTTGAATCATATTCTTAAGCAACATAGACATAGGGATTAGGGTTTAAGATTAGTGCTTGGCCGCCTTAAATAAGGACTCCAAGTCCACAAGGCCATATTTTAGAGAAGTGATCCTTAGGGGCTCCCATCACTGTTCCGGGACGGTGATGAAGATGCATGGCCACTTGAGTGAGACTGAGCTTCTGGGCCGTCGTGTTGTCTTTGACGTCGACCTGCGAGGGTACAATTGACTGACCACGTGCCCAGTCCAAGTTTTGACAAAGCCCGCCTCTGACAATGCAAGACTGTGTTGCGGATGTCAAGGGCAAGTGCGCTCAGATGTGGATCGCGCAAGGCCAAGAAGCCCAATACCCCCGTAATCAGGAGCATACCTCAAACATCGAACTAAGGACTCCTATAAAATCCCTAAACCCTAAACCCTTTATGGTATGCTCCGGAATATACGGGGTATTGGGCGCTCTGGGCAGCTGTTAGGTTGGCAGCCGTGAGTATTCACAAACTTGGGGTTGCGGGCTTTGCTGTGTTTAGGGCTTATAGGGTTTAGGGTTGAGGGAGGCCTCAGGGTGTTCAGGGCTGCAGGGGGTCTTAGGCCAGGGTTTGCAGGTTTTCGAGTTCCCTGGCCCTTTCAAGGCCCTAAAGCCCTGAGCAGTCGCCCTCAGCCAAGAGCCCTAAACCCCTAACCCCCAATGAAACCCAGTTTTCGAGAGTTCATAGGCGACTTTGGGTTTAAAGTCTCGGGCTTCAGGAGGTTGAAAGGCTTTTCGCGTCCGGGGCTTAGGCTCAGGGCTTGCAGGTCTCCAGAAGGCACAGTTTAGAGTTTAGGGCTTAGGGTTTCGGGTTTTAGGGCACTGGGGCTCCCCTAAGCCCTAAACCCTAAACCCCCAAGCCCCCACGTCCAAGATGTTCGGAAAGCGGGGATGCGGGCGCAAAGCGTTGTGGCGATTCTCCGCATTTGACAGGATGCCCCAGAACCGAAATTGACTTCTCTGACATGTGGTCTCTTGGGCCTTACTATAAAGCAGCCCCGACTATTTAGGGTAGATTAGGGTACCCAAGAAGGGACAATCATTTAGAGAACTGACATCGAAGTATACCTCACATGCGCTCAGGCGCCGCCTTTGAGACTGGCCGCGGGCGACGGCGGCGGCGCGTCACAGCGTGCCAGGGATCCCTGAGGGGAGTTTCTTGCACGAGAGCCACGATTGCCCTAGTCCCAAAACCCAACAAACCTCACATGCTACACCCTAAAAGCCTCAATTGCAAGAAACTCCGTATCTTGGGTATTAAGAGAAGGAAACCCTCGAGACGTCAACCGCGTTTAGTTTAAGATTCAGGTCTGCCTCCCTTCTAGCAACAGTTCGTCATGGGATTCAGACAAGGGGGTACTGGAACTACTGACACCTATTGCGGTAGCTCGTTTGACTACAATAGGGACAAGCTAAGTTTAAGCTTGATAGGTTTGCATGTGCCCCCTTATACTAACTAACAGTCCTCAATAGGGATTCTGCTAGGGGGGTACTAGCATCCCTATTCGGGACTGTAAGTATAAGGGGGAACATCCCAATTTATAGGGCTCTGGCCATGAGAAAACAGCAACTGGCAACTGGCAGCCTCGCACCGTTTCCACAAAGCGACTTTTCCCGTCAAGCCCACCACGAATGTCTACAGAACCGACTATTCTAGGGAGTGTGAAAGGAAGGTTTAGGGTTAAGGGTTTAGGGTTTCAACTTACAACCTATAGGGGGACATAAAGGCTAGCATTCGGGATCACATAGGGAAGATGCCGCAGAAGGCTAACCGTTGCATCCGCTTTGAACATACACGGCTCGCCGCAACCCCTTCGGGGCCGTAGGGTCTTAAGGGGGTTGAGGGGTCGAAGAGGCTTGGGTTTTGGGGCCTTAAGCTTCTATGGGGGTTTAGAAGGTTTAGCGTTGAAGGGTCGGAAGGGGCGAGGGTTGCAGTACTCGAAGGCTGACATTCGTGGCAAGCTGCTAATAATCCCTACTAAGGACTCTTAATATAAGCGGGAACATGCCAAGCCCGAAGCCCTTCAGCCTGAAGCTTTTAGAGAGAACAATATAGCATAGCAAGCTAAGACATACATCATCAACTATGACATATATATATATATATACATCGGTATATAATGCATATGCCATGTGTATACATATATATATATATGCAATGGTAAGGTGAGTTAAGTTGAAGTTCCGTTCAGCAGCAACCCTGCAAACGCCGAACATCGCCTGGTGGAGCTTCGCCAGGGCTGCCGCGCTGGCCAAAAGCCCGGCCCGCGCCATCGGCAACAATCATCAATCAAGGCTTTGGGTTTAGGGCTTAGGAACCCTAAGCCCTAAACCCTCAACCCCTAAACCCAAACAGGGCTTAAGTTAGGGCTTACGGTTTAAGGTGTTCGGGTGGTGGGGTGTCAGGGTTTAGGCTGTACCATGAGATGCACTTAGTGCGCTTTCCACATGGCCCCTGTATTCCCAACCCAGCAGTTCCTCAAAAGGGCCGCATCCCCAAATTCTAAACCCTAAACCCGAAACCCCGACAACTTCCCTCGGAACTACGTGCGACGTCCCATCCATTGCTGAGGATGGACGGCTTCTGTGACGCACCCTGGAACCCCTCTGGGTATGTGGGGTGTATAGGGTATAGGGTATAGGGTATAGGGTTTAGGGTTTAGGGCTTAGGGTTTAGGGTTGAGAGTTTAGGGGCTTCCAGCTTCTAGGCTTTTTGTTGCCGTTTGAGGGTGGAGGCCTGGGCCCTGGCTTGCGCAAATGGAGCGGCCGGAGCGCAGTGAGGATGACAGCTTGCCGGATCTAGGGGGTTAGAGTTTGGGGCTTTGGGGTTTAGGGCTTGGGGTTTTGGGTTTAGGGGTTACGGTGTAAGGTTTCGGGCTTGGGTTTGGGGTTTGGGGTTTTGGGGTTCAGGGTTTGGGGCTTTGGGCTTTGGGGTTTAGGGTTTTCACTTTGGGGGGTGGGGTGTGGGGTTTAGAGTTTAAGGGTTGAGGCTTAGGGTTAGGGTTTAGGGATTTGGGGTTTGGGGGTTTAGGGGTTGGGGCTTGGGGCTTGGGGTTTGGGGGTTTGGGGTTTGGGTTTGCGAGTTTGAGATTTGGGGTTTAGGGTTTAGGGTTTAGTGTTTAAGGTTTAGGGTTTGGAGTTTAAGAGTTTGCTGTGTAGTAAGCCTACACCCGACAAACGCTTCGGCAACCCCCCCTCCAGCAAGCTACAGCCCAGAAAGAAGCCGGTTCTCATGAACTGCTCATCTACATTCACACACCAACCCTAAACCCTAAACCCTAAACCCTAAACCCTAAACCCTAAACCCTAAGCCCTACACCCTGAACCCTAAACCCTCACTCCCCGCGAGTTTTAGGGCCCTGCTCTTCGCCTCGTCGAAGGACTTGTCACCAGCCTCGGTCAGAACCCTCTTGATGAACGCGGCGACCTGCAGGGTTTAGGGTTTAGGGTTTAGGGTTTAGGGTGTAGGGTTTTAAGGTTCAGGGTTCTGCGGGGCAGTCTCTGACACGTGGTCCCTTTGGGGTTGAGGGTTTCAGGGTTTCCCCTTAGTCCTACAAACGCCTATGGCAAGGTTCCTTGCCCCAAAAGCGACAAGAATCCGGAGAGACACGTACATGCCTTCTCAAGCACCAGCTCGGTTCTGAGAGGCCCATGGCTGTTAAGCCCTAAAAACCCTAGCCCTAAAACCCTGAACGCTAAACCCTAAACCGCCCAAACCCTAAACCCTAAACCCCAAACCCCTAAACCCCTAAACCCTAAACCTCAAACCAACTGCCAAGTCCGCAATTGGGTCCACGTCCCGTTGTTGCGGGGGTCGCCGAGCGGACGTGCAGTTGAAGCCCTTGCAAGCCTTAACCATCCAGTCCCCCAAAGGTTGAGGGTTGGGGGTTTAGGGCTTTGGGGTTGGGGCTTAGCCAAACCCAAGACTAAGAACCCTAGACCCTAAACCCTAAACCCGAAACCCTAAACCCTAAGCTAGGAATACAAAGGGGCAAAGGGGGCTCAAACGGCAACCGAAGTCCCTAAAGGGAATAATGAACCCTATAAAGGGCCTTTTATGGGATTATAGGGTATAATGAACCCTATAAAGGGCCTTTTAAGGGATTTTGGGGAATAAGGGAACCTACTCTGGATCCTTACTAACCATGTTCCTCAACTCGAAACCCTGGGCTAAATGGCTCTCAGAGAGAGCTGCGCCCTTCATATCAAGGGAGCCAGACTCGGACCCCTAAGGACTCCCAAGGGGTTCCCTGAATAGGGTAACCCGAGGGGTCCAAGGTCGAATCCCATGAAAACCTTCCTTCAAAACAGAGCGCACCTGTTCAGGTACACATTCCCTTCAAACACAAAACATGAGGGTGAACCACACCCAAGCTGAAAGGTGCGCCCCTCTTGTACACATGAGGGAGCATCCAAAGAAACATACGCCCGGGGAGAGGTATTGAAGAACACATCTTGACTGTTCTTGGATCCATATTCCATATTCCATGGTCCTTGGTAAACAGAACCAGCTAGAACATCCAACAACAAAATCACGCGCGCACACACATAGACACACGCACAGACAGCCATAAGAAAAATATAAATGTGTATACACATATATATATATAGGTAGACACATGCACTCTCTACAAATAAATAAATAAATAAATGAATAAAAGAATAATATATATATATATATATGTTCAATCAAGGTCCAGATGTAGCTTGCTCCAGGTATGGCCCAAGAACCTTCCTCAAACCATATGCCCAGCCCCCCCCCCCCCCCCCAACCTGATCATGTGAAGTAGGGTTTAGGGTTTGGCATATACACTCACCAGAATTAAAAAGGAACATTATATACGCTCACCAAGAACAGTAATATTAACCCTGCTTCATGTATACTTGGCGTAAAGTACATAGTCTACGGGCCTTCATGATTTGAATAGGGCTTTGGGGGTTACTACGGTGTATATATTAGGGACTATACCGGAATCCTGAATACTATCAGTAATTCTTCCGACCCCTACAGTACTTGAAGCGTTCTAGGTTTACGACTCATGGTTTTTTTCATTTTGTGTTTGGACCTCCCACCCGCCTTGCCAGCCCCCTGCGAGCTCTTCTTCATGGGCTGCTCCGCATGCTCCTGCCACGGCTTGGGGGCGACGATGCAGGCTAGGGCTTATACAGTAGGGTTTCTATACTACCCTAGACCCTAGAGTCCCCAGAGTAACCATGGGTCCCTTTTGGCTTAAGGGGATTATGAGGGGCCCTAAATCCCCAAAGAAGGGAATAAGGGCCTACTCCGGGTCCTAGCTACTATTCTCTCCTTCTGGCCAAGGGTACCAGAAAAGGGCCCAAGATTCCTGTCAAACCCACAGGCCGCGGGCAGGGCGCCCGAAGGAAAACACGCAGGTGCACTTGTCGTCATGGCCGCTCCCTAAAACCCTCATCAACCCCAAACCCCATGAACCCTACACATCTGAGTCCGCACCACCTTACCCTTGAGCAAGCTTTATACTTTTGGAAAAAGGAGCATGTGCCGTTTTTGTTGGGTATATTTACCCGTTTTGAGTTTACTCTTGAAGGCTCCTACGAAGTACCTTGTTCGACTAGTATACCCCAAACCCTACCCTAAACCCTAAACCCAAAACGCCTGCCGGTTGGCCGCAACCCTAAACCCTAAACCCTAAACTCTAAACCCTAAACCCTTAACCCTTATAAACACTAAAACCCTACACCCTGAAGGTAGATGCCACTTCCTTCGCACGCCTTCGGTCTGGGCGGCCCCGCCTCCGCATCCTCGGCCACAGGCTCTGCCACGGCTTTCTCAGGCGCCTTGCCGGAAGCGTTTCTTTGTACTTGGAGGTTCATGGTACTGCTTAACCGATTAGAGCTGTACTTATAACCATGTTGGGGCACTTAAGGGGCTTATAAGTGGGTTATAAGTACAGTGATCGTTGGTGATCAAGTGCCCTGAAGTTCCAAGTACAGGGCTTCCCAAAGAGCCCAATTCCCCTGAACAAAGGGAATATGACTTACATCATACTAAGGCCCCCACCTAACTTATGGTGTACGTAAGGCTTTGTTAAGGGGTATTGTGCTCTTTGCTGTTTAGGGCTTTGGGGCGTGAGAGGTGCTGTAGCTCAGAGTGTCAGGTGGTCTCGAGGACTTGCTCAGTTTTTCTGTGAGTGTGCTTGGGGCTTGTAGCCAGTTTGTTTAGGGCCGTTGCTGACTTTACGAGGTTGTTGGGGTGTTCAAACCCTAAACCCTAGACCCTATAACCCTTTATGAGTGTGGGAGCTGTCGACGGCCTGTTGGCTTAGGGCTTAGGGTTTAGGGCGTTTAGGGTTTAGGGTTTAGGGTTTAGGGTTTAGGGTTTAGGGTTTAGGGTTTAGGGTTTAGGGTTACACGGCCCTAAACCCTAAACCGTTAAGCCCACTTTAAACCCTCAGCTTAGGAGGCTCTTTTGACTTAGTAAGTCTGCTTCGTATCCCCCAGAAACCTTCTTATATTCCCCAGAACCAACCTTACTAACCCTACTTACTGACTCAAAAGAGCTGTAAAGTAGGGGCCCAGATGGGTCCCTGAACCCTAAAACCGATACAAAATAACTGTGCCTTGGGTGGCACCTTATGGGTTCCCGGGAAGGGCTGGTAGCGTTTAGGGTTTAGGGTATAACGTTCAGGGTTTGGGGATTTTTCTACGGGGTGTAAGCGGCATTCGGGGTCTAGAGGGCTTATGCTTACGGTGCTTAACTTTTGGGGGCTTATGGGGTTGATGGGGTTTCTCAGGTTTGTAGGGTTTATGGGGTTCACAGGCCTTCTAGGGTTAGTGGGCTCACGGGATTGAGAGAGCTTATGGGGATTTATGGGGTTTGCACCGGTTTGCTGGGATTTGTAGGGTTTATTGTGTCTATCTTGGGAATCTCCCCCTTATTCGAACAGTCCTTAATAGGGATTCTAGTACCCCCCTACTGTAATCCCTATGAAGGACTGTTTGTATACAGGGGGAACATCCCAAACCCTAAACCCTAAACCCTAAACCCTAAACCCTAAACCCTAAACATCCCAATGTCTGTGGCGTGTACAGGGCTTTGTGGGGATTTCGAGGGTTGCCCAGATGCCTTCTTGGAGTTCTTCATGGCCTCACGCGGACAGCCGCCAGGAGGCCCCCAAACCCCTTTTACGATTTTCCTTTTTAGGATTTAGGGTTTAGGGTTTACGGATAAATCGAGTAAGGATCCCTAAACGAAATTGAAGGTTTCTTCTTTGGATAAGGGGTGTTGGGCCCTC